ACACACACAACCACTGCAGGATTGGATCTTTTTGTTGATTTATTGTGTAGTCTTTCCTTTTATAGACTTTAATCATTGGTCTACATGCACTATGTTTGTCGCCTAAGCTTAAGTAGTGGAATGGTTATAAAATTGTGAAGCCTCTTATAGTAGCTGTATTGCACAAGTAATGAGCAAAGACTCATCCTTGTTTTCCTGCAGAAGGAGATCATGGAAATGGCAAGCGTTGAAGGGTATCCAGTGGTTCTATTTAATGACTGATATACCTTTTGGAATGGTCCCATCTTCAAAGCACAGCTGGTTTTCCAGTGATGCAAGGCCTAGTCTTTTGCTTGACTAGCTAAACTGGCATTCCTTCTATGTTGTGGTGTCCAATTAACTTGGCGATGAAGCGTTGATTACGCCTGTGATGATTTGATTTGAATTGAAGTCCGTTCTGCTTTTGGTATAAGATGATTGCTTTTCTGGTGTTTGTATATTTGAAACATAAGTCCGTTCTGCTTTTGGTATAAGATGATTGTTTTTCTGGTGTTTGTATATTTGAAACATAAGTCCGTTCTGCTTTTGGTATAAGATGATTGTTTTTCTGGTGTTTGTATATTTGAAACATACTCTTTCTACAATAAGGGAAACTAAAGTTAACTCCTCAGAAAAATATTGTAGATTAAAGTTGATCCAACAACCAAAATAACCTCACTGAAAACAATTGCTATCTTTAAACGACTGTCTTGAATTAGTCCATTAGATCGAATTAACGTCTAAAATTTCTTTTTGAGCACTTTTTCGTTAACAAATCAGTGAGAATCCAATAAGAATGCATATTTCATAGATACGTTATTACATCATGTTTCTTGCGATATCTAGTAATATATTGGATCAAGCATTATCAATAAAACTTAGCAAATGAATGCTGTTCCTATCTACAAGCTGAAAATTAAACTCCTTGCCTTGAATAGGAAATCCTTTCAAATAGAGGAGAGCAATAAATAAATAAATAAAATACATGTATTCTCTGCACCTCTGCTCTAACAGTTCACAAAAACATGTTAAGGATCCAATTTTGAAGATATTTATTCATGGATACAAAACAAATTCTATGTAACAAGAGAGGATGAAAAGTGTTAATGGCCAAAATCAGAAACTTCGCTAAGTGTGTTTATAATTTTATATATATAGGCGGTATAATTTTTTGACAAAAAGAGTTCAACTAACCACCTTTGAGGCTATATGACTCCGCCACTAAAAAGAACTCTTTCCGTCCTTTTTTAGTTGTCATAATTTCTTTTTTTCGAGTCAATTTGACTAATCTTCAAAGTTAAATTAGATTAGACTAGATTAACTCAATATTTTAAAATTAAAATTTTGATATTCAAAGGCTATATTAAAAGAAACTCGGACCTGTGTATTGTATCGTATTGTTACTTTAAATACAATATTTATTGTATCCTTTACCCTAATAGAACGAACCAATTTGGTGCAGTCGCATTTTTTTATTTTTATTTTTACTCTTATCTTGTCCTTTTTTTTATTAATAATCCTATTTTATTTTTTATCTTTTATATAATAATTCTACCTTTCTCCACTAGTGGAATTAGATTGAGTTGTTATTATATAGTAATTCTAGTTTCTTTATAATATTGCAAGTTTATTTTTTATATTATTGGTATATCATAAATAATATAATCTATTATATATTATTTATTAAACATATATAACAAACCATCAAAACAAGCTGTAAAAAATAGGTTCTTCCCTGCTCTATGTAAACAGTGTCACAAAACACAGCTTAGAAAAGCCATCAAAAGCAACCATTTTCCTCCAAATACAAAGTTCTTTCTCTCAAACTATTGAACGAAACCAATCTATACTTTCTCTCCGATCATCCTTTTCAGGATACATAAAAGTTAGTTAGGGTTCCGGTAGAGTGAAGGATGGCGGAACCGGCGAGTCCAGGCGGCGGCGGCGGAAGCCATGAGAGTGGTGGTGAGCGGAGCCCTCAGTCGAACTTGCGAGAACAAGACAGGTACCTACCGATCGCGAATATAGGACGCATCATGAAAAAGGCATTGCCTGCTAATGGAAAGATCGCTAAGGATTCTAAGGATACTGTTCAGGAATGCGTTTCTGAGTTCATCAGTTTCATCACTAGCGAGTAAGCTTTGCTTTTTATTTATTGCTTCAATAAATTCGTAGACAATAGAGACCTATGTAATTTATACCAGAATCGACTGTCGAATTTTAGATGCTGAAATGGAGGAATGAGAATTTTATAGTAGGTTTATACTACGAGTTTAAGTTCGCGTTGACAGTGGAAGAATACCTACACAATTAGGTCTAATTGCAAGTAACTCTATTTAATAACATGGATTGGTGATCTTTAATAAATGTTAAGCAATCTGTTATAATAGGTTAAATTAGACTGTGCGTATAACTTAAATCGTTATACTAATGGGTAAAGAATGCTATGCCAACTGAAGTTATGTGGCATTATATGTGGCTAATTTCTCATTTCAAGAATTGTTTTTGGAATTCCTTTTAGGCTCAGATGGTTCCTTTTAGCCATTTAACAAAATATTCCCCTTTGAGAAATCAATAGGATGTCTGGGTGGTGCTGTTTTGATAGCATTAACAGAAGGGAGGGGAGTTAATAGCTTACTCAAAAATAAACTCTGGCTACGACTCTTCCATGAATTGCCAAACAGCATAAAGCTTCCTTCCCCCTCTTTGCTGGCTGCTATCTTCCTTTCTGAAATCCCTCTTTACCATTCCCTTTCCCCTGGCTATGACTAAAAGCTAAATTGTTCACGGCATTCAAGAGCTAGGGGAATCATGGACATGTGATCACCTCCTGGCCCATTAGGGAAAAAAGAATACGGGGAAAGATGTGTTGATAAGGAGTAGCAGACAAGGGAATAGTAGAGGCATTCGTCTGCTTTGTGAAAGGAAAGAACACAAAAAGAAGGACTTGACTATAATAGAGGTGGAGTAGAATGACCTGCCATTTTAATTATGCTCTCAAGAGAAACATGAAAAAAGGGAGGACGAGAATAGTAGTACTTCAATGAGCCAGCAGGGAGGACGGGAGGCAAAAAAATAGAAGGAAAAAGGCGGGCAAGTCAGCATGTAATCAACCACTATCTACAGT